CACCGTGGCCAAGCAAACTTTTCAGCTTGCCCGGTGTGGATGCACACTCAGAGTAACATCACAAACATCATATTCACCTGAGTACATAACATCAACACACACAAAATAATAGTATTATTTTATTGTAAAAACAATGAAAAGACAATGAAATATTCCCGTCATTGAATATCCACCGCGATTGCATGAAGAACAATGGGATTTTAGAAACAATGAAAAGACAATGGAACTTCGATCACTGAATCTTGACTGGATGTCACTGTTGCTAATCTAAGTGTTTCGCAAGGAGGCTAAATGAAACCAGGGATAATAAAATAAATGGATAGGACTCTAGCTGACGTAAGCAAAAACAACCTAGTTGCAATCTGTGACGTCACACGTATTGTAAAGTTCTCGGCATTTTTGTTGTTTCGCTATACTTTCCGCTTTAAAAGAGTAATATTGAAGCATAACTGATCTAATTGTTTTAAAAACATGCCTAAACCACGACAAAGTATTCAAGGTAAATGTTTTTCGTCTTTGTTTTGTATTTTTTTTTACATTTGTAGCTACGAAATTGGCGTCCCCAATTTTAACGAAATTTGGGATGCATTTTTCACTGTTTAGTGCTTGAAATATTTGCTAAAATTGACTGGGAATACTTAGAGATTTCATCATAGAATGGCGTAGTTATATTCATTTGCTCTTTGACTAAAATGTTTAACTGTATTATTGCTAAACATGCCGTTTTAGAATTTGGTTTGCAAGTATAGGTTTCAACATCCAACCACGCCATCAGCCCATTGAAAACATTAGATCACGTCAGCTAGTTTCCTATCCATTTATTTGATGAAACTTTAAAATGCTCACTAAATTTTCATGTGAGAATAAAAAATAACAGCAACCGTTCATTCTAAGATGCATTCTAGGTTTGCAGATGTTTTTTTTGCGTCCCGCGCGTTATAATCCTTATAACATATTTATACAATTTAAATTAAAAATCAACTATTATATACAAAACCATTCCACTTTTGATCAACTTATGAGTTCCTGCCGAGTCTTTTATAAAATTGCTGGAAGCCATTAGTCCTTGACAGTCCCAGAAGAAGTAGACATATAACGTAGATGATAACCAATGAGGCAAGAGGATGTTGAAATACCCACAGAGATTGATAGAAATGCCTGAAGAATGGTAAGATTTACTGCGTTAAAAGTATATACTGCCAAAGTTTGGTTAAAGTTGTAAAATCATGATACAGTAAGACCCATTGGAGCTTAATATTTTGTTTTCAAAGGATGGACTATAGGGACAGCTGCCGTAAATCAAAATGTGCCCTAGTCTAGGACTAGAGGCTCGTATGTTAAATGGAGAATCAGAGTAATGTATAAAAAGTGAACCAGAAATGATGTTTTAATGTAATCGAGCGCGGAGTGGCGAGCGAAATGGTGAAGTGGAAAACGGTTGTCGAAGTCTTATTGCTGCTATTGACAAACAAGTTAAAGTACGAATGACACAAATTATTTAATATCTTCACAACATTTAGTTCGGAATTAAGACATTGTGCTGATATTAATTTGTGTCATTCAGACTTATTTGCGAGCCAAACTGAACTGAAGGTCATTGGACACCATCATACATATGTCCAACCCAAACTTAAAGTCATCGGACATTTTGTCAGACGGTCCTGTAAAAGATATTTCAATAAAGCCTGGTTATTTCTAGGAAATTTTAACCAGAGGGTTTTTAGAGTGCATTAACAGCAGAAGCACCAAGAATGCTTGGTTGTGAATGTACTACTTTCCCATGGTACAGTGTACAATTATCAATCCAGTTTTCAATTCAAAACAATGGATGATTCCATCCATAGACTAAATTTTAATCTCGGCAAGAAGAACAAAATCCATCACCACAGCTAGTAGAAAGAAGATGTTACAATGAGTAAAATTGCAAAGTTTGGTTGCGAAATGTTGTAAAATAAGGAAAATATAGCCCTACGAAATTTGCAAATTTTGTATTAATTAATTTTTGTTACGCACGGGATAATGCACTACTTTCGGCCCAACTGTGATGCATTTTCCCGCGCGTAATACAATTTAATACAAAATTTGCAAATTTCGCAGGGCTATATTTCCCGCATTTTACAACATTTCGCAACCAAACTCCGCATTTTTACTAATTTTAACATGCTCTTTCTAGCTATGGTGATGGATTTTGTTCTTCTTGCCTAGATCAAAATTTAGTCTATACCATTAATCTGTACTTACCTTCTATAGCCACTATGAGAAGCATACACCATAATATACTTGACTCTCACGAGCTGGTTATTTGTGACAACAAAATACCTCTCAGGCACATCACCGCCTTCGCTGTTCTCAGCTCGTGATCGAGACCTATGACCTGGTCCTTGCACTGATCTCTTCACATCTGGATGGTCAATTATTTCACATACTGCTATACAGCTCAGTTTGTCTCCTAGTAAACTATGTTTCCAGCCTTCACCAAACTTGCTGTAAGGTATACTGACATTTAGGTCACTGGATAGGTAGGTTCCTTCACCAAAAAGAGATGTCTATGGCAAATATAGGACATTGAGGGTTATTTGAGTGACTGAATTGTAGAGATTGACCAATGATCGGAATCAGGCCAATTATCGTGTTATCGGTAGACAATCTGTCATTGTCAGATTTTTTGGTTAACCCATTAAGCTGCAGAGCTTCCCCATTGACAAGTAAAATCGTCTGGCCAAAAAAAAGTATGGCGCACTGGAGCACATTGCGGCTCAATGGGTTAAACAAACCAACATCACATCTTTAAGCTATTTCCAATATGTATACATCAATTACTCAATCTAAACAAAGAATATTTTAGCTTACCTTATTTAGATGAGCATGTAATCCATTGTGCAAAATTGAAAAAAAGTTCTCAACTCGGCTGCCATGGTAACCATACAATATATCCATGTTTTGACGAAGTTCGTCAAATTTAGCATTTGACATTTCGTTATATTTTATTTCAAAAATATGTGACGGAGTGTGGTAATTCGTTGAATTTTCAGTCATTCTAGTTATTTCTTCAAACTAAAATAAACAACAACCAATGTCTAACACATCATGAGACATCACCTAGCTAGGCAGGCCATCTCAAACAGTCACAAATTATTAACAAAGATATGTTTTACCCAAGTTTCTTGGTAGGGTTGGCCAATTTAAAAAAAAACATATCATGATTATCATGATTATCATCTATGACACTATCATGATATTAGATATTATGATAAATGACAGTATCATGATATTAGATATTATGATAAATGCAATAAAAACAATGACCACAGTTTCAATTTTAAATGGATGCATGGGCAAATAATCTGATTAACCATTTAGTGGTGGCACTGTTCCCTTGACAAGTAAAGTCATTTGACAGAGTAAAATACTGATGCAGGTGTTTGACTGAGTAAAAAACACTAAACTAGGGAGCATTGCCATTTAAAGGGTTAGAGTAAATATCAAATTAAAACAAAACAGAAAACAATAGATACTCCAAAAGTTGTAAACATTTTCATTCAAAAAAAAATAATAAAAAAGTTTTTCCACAGTGTCTATTGTTTTAAAAAACTCTATGGCAAAGTCTTATACATGTCATTTGAACAAGCACTAGGAGATATGCTCTATTTGATGTGAATGAAACTGCTGTATACCTTACTTGCTGTGGGAGATCGCTCTATTTCCATATTCCTCACATTTATAATCCAATCTACCAACTTCCACACATCATTTAATTTGTTTTTGTTTAATTCTTTGATTCCTGGTATCCTATTGGCCACATCTTTCTAAATTAATTTGATAAATAGTATTATCACATACTTGTGCCTTTATCAGGGCAAAAGCCGGGTGACATCAAAACCATATATATGTCACTGATATAATTTCTTGTCAATGATATTTAACAAATATAAAACATTTTCCGTATTGATATACAGTTATATCAACACGAGTGGAATTGGGAAAACGATTTTTACAATTTCGAGTTTTCCCAACTTCCACGAGTGTTGATATAACTCTATATTAATACGGAAAAAATGTTTTATATTTTTTTTTATAATATAGCAATGTCACAAGCCCGAAGGATAAGAAAAATTTCCGTGTTTACAAGCGGTGGAAAATTTCCCGTGTTGACATTGAGTTATATCAACACAGCTCTTAGCCAATCAGCGTTCAGAATTTACAAATGCTATATTATAATGCTTTTTGTTCTGCTGTTTTAATTAACAATTATTCGCCGAAGGCGAGGTGATTATCGGTGAATAAAAACCGAGACGAAGTCGAGGTTTTTATTCACGATAATCACCGAGCCTGAGGTGAATAATTGTTTTAGTATAATTTCATAGGTGATTATTTGGAAAAAAATTTTAAAATGCACATTTCTTCGTCATTTAATTGAAAAAACGGCTTCGGCCGCCATTTTGAAAATCGCTTAGGTGATTATCGCGTAATAATCACCTCAACGGCAACCAATCAGCGTGGAGAATTTTCAATAATCACCTATGTAATTATACTAATAATTGTTGTATTAGGGCAATGATTAATATTCTAATATTTTTTTTTGTGACCCTGATAAGGCACAAGTATATAATAAACATGTTTTCATAATCAGTACGAGGCAACATCAGTTTTATTACTTTGAGGACAATATCATAGATGTCCCTCATTCACCACACTCACTCGTGACATTTATGATATCGTCCCTCAAGTAATAACCTGTACATACAGTCAGACCACTCTGAATGTGTTGTCGTGTGTTTTACATACAGTCAGACCACCCTTTATGTGTTGTCGGAAGTCCCTCCTCTCTCCTGAGGGACTGCTCGCGGCCTAATTGCATTCACATGTCAAACTCCTTGCAAGTGCCCCTGTCTGGTTGTCCAGCTGTCTCCCCCCGACCCTCTCCCTTTGTTACTTTGTAGAGCTCCAGTCTAACATAAACCATGAATTTGTGAAGCAAAATTATAAACCCTTTTCTTTAGATGCAAACCTTTCACAACTCACCAGTGCATCGGTATTTTTCTCGCCACTTTCATGAAAATATCCAGGAGGAAAAGGCCTCACTAGGCTGTCATGGCGATAGTTTTGCAACGCCGACATGAACAAACTGATTTGTAAATCGGCTGCAAACGGATCCTTTCTTACTTTTGACAGAACACTATCAACAACATATCTTTCTCCTTCCATTTTATACTAAATTTTCGTTCCAAGACCGCTCATTTTCATTCAAAATGGTATTTAAATTACGTTTCATTCTCAATTCATCATTGGCCATTTTGTAAAATTTAATAAAAAGCACCCCCCAGAAAAATCTTTCCAAAGCCCTTCCACCCGGGTTTTCCAATTACACGAGAACGAGGCAAAAAAATTTCGTTTACTAGAATATCTAACCAATCAAAATGCCGAAATATTTTAAGACAGCCAATCAGCGCACAGCGAGGTGTATTCAAATTGGGACGTCATTAAAAAAATTTGAAATTCCCCATTCAGATTGCACGCCGAAGGAGTCTTCTTTTATTTTGGGTTTATTTCGCTGTTGAAAAAGGAGATATACCTTTCTTTTTGGCCAAAATGTCTGCTGCAGATATCTATTACTCAAAGAAATACCAAGACGACTTTTACGAATACAGGTTTGCGAAGTTTTATGCACTTTTTTACGAGGTTTTGTTGGTCTGAAATTTACCGGTTTCGAGGCCATGTTTGAATTTGAAAACATCAAATTGTGGTACGTGTATCAATAAAGATGTAGCTAGAAGCAGCTTTTTTAGTTCCTTAAAATTTAAACTCACTTTGGATGTGAAATTTTCTTTTGTAGACACGTTATTCTGCCGAAAGAACTCGCAAAAAGAGTACCAAGGGCGCTCATGTCGGAAGATCAATGGCGATCCATCGGAGTTCAACAGTCGCTTGGTTGGGAGCACTATATGATTCACAGCCCAGGTAGGAAAAAAACACTTGACTACTTTGATACCTAAACAAAATTTGCACTATATATGTGATATTTTGTGTTTCCTGTTTTCACTCTATATCAATAAAATTTTGATTTTCAGAGAGACATGTTCTGTGCTTCAGAAGACCACTTCCTGGCGTTGAATGTGCCACGATTCCTTACTGATCGCTGTTTGAATTCAATGGTCTTGATTGGGAGTCTTCACAATGAACTCTTGGGATTGAAGGGAATTGTAAATTTTTGTACAGAGATTAAATTTACTTGAGAACTTTGCTTCCACAAATATACGCCAAAAAGCTAGAAACTTTAGCTTTATTATTATTTGAGCTAGAGTGCTGGTAGATTTGGTTGTTTGGACATTCCATTTAAAATCCATACTGGGCATCTAAAAGTTGATTCTGATTCTATAAATCCAAAATTTTGTACCCAACCATTGGAGTGATTTACACACACTATCAACGTTTCTGTCAAGGATTTGTAAGAAATGTTTGAGGGAAAAACTCAGTGTTATGTAAACACTGAATCTCTCAAACGTTTCTTACATGGGTAAACCCATGCAAAATTCCTACTGTGATCACAGAAAGGAGCTATGATGGGGCAGGAGCTATGAGGGTTTCTGTAAATTCGCAATTCTAAAACTGAAGTTAGAGTTGTGGGTGGAACGACAAGTATAAATCCGGGTGTGGATTTTAAATGGAACTACTGTAATGCATGCTCTGAACCTATAAAAATGTCGATTCTAACTTGTGGTCTTAATTTACATGTAACACATACTGGAATGTGGCAGACAAGCTTTTCTGGCTTATATACTGACACTGATTATTTATTAGGTAAAAGTGATTTGATATCATTGTATATTTGTGGTTTGTGTAGTTTGATATATTTAGCAATTTGAAATAAAAAGTTAAAGTATACTTTGTGTCTTGGATAAAGTTGTTCATATCATACCCTGCCTTGTGTAATGCAACCACACAAGAATGTACCCACAGCCCGACCTAGGCCTTTACTCGGCAAGCGGCACTTGATTTGCAGGTTAATTGACTCCGATGACGCCATGAGCACAGAATAAAGACACACAGAAGGTAGACTAGAGTAACCGCTGCCACACCATGATTCATCATCAAAATGCTGACACCTTTGTCCTAGCCAGTGTGTGTTTGAGAGGCATTCCCCCCTGGAAGTCTGCCATTTTGAATATTATCGGGGGTGTGAATGTCTCTCAAATGCACACTGGCTAGGACCATGGCATCAGTATTTTGATGACAAATTACGGTTATGCCAAAATCATTGGAAAACCAAGAAGTCTGGCTTCTGTGTAGTCTATTCTGTGCCACGAGGCAGCATTGCTAGGTTCCAGTCTTCTCACATGAAAAGTGCTCAAATATAAATGCCCTATGTCTACTGTAGGCTGCCAAGCCTAGTTGATACAACATTACAAATCTGTGCCTGGTGATGCAGTCTTCAGCCTGCTGACCTGAAATAGCCTGCATCTATCTCACTGTATCTCTTCTTGTTCATGAATTTTAGCTCAAAATCTGCTTGTGCAAATATACATCAACACTCCTTAACAATTAGGCACCTTGACATGCTTGCAATAATTATGACCCAAATTGAAACCAGGCTTTACTTTGCTAAGTAGTGGGTTAAACTCTGGAGGCAACCCATTGTTAAGTGAATGCATAGTCGGCATTTGATGTTAATGATGAACCTCAGCTATGTGACAAATTGCCAGCTTTGCAAAATAAAAGAACCGACTGACCCAACCGTCCCGAGGGAAAAGGAGTATAAAAGTATCTTCCACACTGAAAAAGAAACAATACAAATTAGTTTCAGAATATCATGAAACAAATTTTTGATTATTGTAAAATGTTTGGCCCTGAAAAGTGCCATACAGAGACTGATATAATTACCTCGGTGTAAAAATATTCTTCAAGGAAGGCTTTTATGTCCTAAAAGATTGAATTGAGTTGTTACAAATTATAAAATAAACCTTAAAATTTTCTGGCAATCAAAACTCACTTTGAATAAAACATCAAAGAATATTATGTGAGATGGTAGGTCTTGTTTCTTGTTAAACGTTTCATTCAGCCAGTTTTGTGGATTTTTATAAAACCTATCGGCTTCATCAATGTATCCAGGTTGCTCACTTGGACTACAATCTAAAAATCTCATCTCAACTTTCTTGTGTAGGTAGCTAAAAACAAAAAGAAGTGTTACATGTTGAGATAACTTGATGATTAAAATCATCTAGCATTAGACGGAGTGAAATATTAATTTGAATGTTCCTTACTGAGTCATTTCGTGCTCAATGCTGTAAGATGCATGATATGAGAAGACCAGTGTGGTGTAACCAAGGGGGTGGGGCTCTGCCCCCCAATGGACAGAATGACTGCCCTTGTGAAAAGCTGAAATCCAGGCAGAAATTGGGGGTGGGGGAGGGTACAATGTGTGAATAATGATACCCATCTATTCTGTTATTGATAAAAGTTGTAGTCTTATCTATCTAGAATCCTAACCCCAGTAAAACATGAAAGCACATTTGAACTTGAATTTGCACACATAGCAGTAGTCACAACCAACTTGAAATTTCAAATATGGTGGCCAAGTGAATACACGATTTTGATTGGTTAACTTTTCCACTAATTGTGGTTAACTTTAACCCATTAAGCTGCAGAGCTTCCCCATTGACAAGTTAAATCGTCTGGTGTTAGACAAGTAAAAAAATAAGTAGGGCACATTGCGGCTCAATGGGTTAACTACCTTTTGATACAACCAGCCCCAGAAGGGGTCAATGGGTTTTGGTTTCATACCTGTAATATGGTGTTGAGTGACAAGGCATCAGAAACAATACACTAGCATTTGGCATATCTCGAACATTTCCCTCAACAGCTCTCATCACATCAAGCGTCCCTCGTTGGTGGATTAGGCCAGTATACAGAGCAACAGGAACATTTGTTAGAATCAAGAAGATAACCAACAGTTTGCATTTTGTACTCAAGTGACGACTCTTACTTGAGTTATCATCATCTTTCTTCACATTTGTAGAAAAACTTGTAGTTGCTATGTGATGCATTCCTTTGCCACAAATAAACATTGCCATAGGAACTATAGGAAGGATGAATCTGAACTCTTTGTGACTTAGGAGGCTAAAAGGTAGGAAGAGAAATTTTATTTTGTGGTTACAGTGAAACTGGATGCTCTCTTGCGAGCGACATTGCAATATTGTCCCACAATATTGCAATTTTGATAGACAGATTGCTCTGAGCAATTTGCCCATCAAAATTGCAATATTGTGGGACAATATTGCTCGCAAGAGAACATCCAGTTTCACTGTAATTAACCCATTACGCTGCACCATTGCACCCTACTACTTTAATATAATCTTCTGTCTAATGCCAGATCTACAATACAATGCACATTGTACAACTACAATTTATTATATACATGTAGTATATATACTACTAACCTGAATACAGCAATGTCAATAACAATAAGTAAAAGCCATTTCTGTAGAGATTTTCCATAGTAATAAAGTCCAATCGCAAATGGAACGAGATAGCTCAGCAATACCACTGGTATTCCTTGTGTTACATACCTAGTAGTTCAAAAAATAAACTTTCATCCATCTAACAGATTATTCATTTTAACACATTTTGAATTTTAACCTAACGCTAATCAAGCTTTTGAACAATCGGCCCCTGGAAGCAATTCATCTCAACAGAGCATACGCTTCAAATGTATATGCATGATATTTTGGCTTGATTGAAGATCCACCTTGTATAAAATGGGCAATTAGCATATTAAAAATTAACCATACAATTTATGAAAACTACATACTACAATATGAAAACTACATACTCACCAATGCCAAGGGTGTGTTCCATATAACTCACCAATATTTTGCAATATATTGAAGTACAAGAAATTATACTGAACAAATACAAATTTGCCATAAAAATAACTATCAACTAAAACTGAAAATATGAGAGAACATATTCCAATTGGAACTATAAAGATGAAGAAAAAATGTACAGGCAACACTCTTCGCAATCTTGCAATACCAAGGGGTATCCATATTACCAATGCGGTCGGCCTAACCAGACATGAAAACGAGGCTAAAATCAATGCTTTGTAAATAGCTGATGTTTGTTTAACAATTTCTGACGTGGTATTAGGTTTGGTGTTTTGTGACAATTCCCAGTAATACAAGCCAATAGAAATCAATGTGGTTTCCATTGAATTCGTCAGCGTCCGAGTAATGCAATAAAATGTAAACCATGATGTTACTTCACAGAACAGGACCCACCATGCAACACTGGAACCATACAGTAATCGTGCAAGTTTATAAATATAGTACTCCCCAATAGCACCAAATATGGCTTGAATAATTCTTGGCAAATAAATAATCAAAATTGGGAAATCCATTTTACAAATGTCAAGGATTTTATACACAGACGCAAAGAGAAGAGGATAGACGTAGCCTCGAATCCCTTCTCGCCATTCCCATGTCAAATGACCATAGCCAAATACCATTTTGTGGGCGACCTCTGGGCCCTGCCAGAACTCATCGGGAACAAACCAAGTTTGGACAAGAAAAACATTGCACAAACGGAAAATTATTAAACCAAATAAAATATTCGAGTCTTTTAAGCTGGATTTTGGTTTAAAAGTTTCCAAATTATTACTTTTGAGCTCTTTTTCTAATGTTCTTTTGCGAGTAAATTGTCTTTTTCGAAATTCGTCCGCCATATTGTGAAATGACGATATATATATTTACATGAAGTTTTTCAGGCATATGGAGAAGGGAAGAAAGCTCGCGGGCTTGAAAAGAATTTTTCAGAAACAGTTTGGTTGCAATTTTAGCCAATCAGAGTCCATCAGATTTAGCCAATTGTAAAGCTTATAAAGTAACCAATAACATCGCCTTTGGCTTCCCTTTGATATTTTTTCAAACATTTTTTGAGGACAGTGCAGTATATTCATTTTATCTGGCGATTCCTATCATGTTTGCTTTGAAAAGGCATATTATTTATTACTAGTTTACAGATAAGTTTTAACTTTTTATTACTCGATGTCCGTACTATACTCTATAGTATAGATATGTCAGATATACATTTAGTACTGAACTGAAATAAATAGACATAACTGGACCATAGTCTTATGTCTTATATAATTGAAAAAAGTATGAGAATATAAATAAACTCTGCATCATGTGTTGAAAAAGAATTCATTATTGAACCATTAAAATTTAAAAACATACCACAGTTGACCTATTAAAGACATAAAGACTTTAGAATGGTTACAAGTGCTTCCATTTTAGGAAATAAGTCGAATAAAAATCTTTCAATAACCACACAAAGCAATGGTTTTCACACACCCACTCTACCGGTTTAAACAAAAATTGAGAAATGAAATCGGAAGTTACTGCCACCTGCCATTCGACAAATCTAGAAAATCCAATTTAAATTCTTAATATGGTACAAGCAACCGCGGCTTTTGGTGTTTGTTATGCTGCCAAAATAGAAAGCATTTACCACAGTCATCAAACACTTTCGCTAATAGGCTTGGTAACTTCTTGATATAGCTTTTAGGCCAGCTTACATTCTTATATTCTTCAGGCAGTTTGATATTAATATTCAGTTTACTCTGGGATTTTCAGTGGCCAATTACATTATGTATTATGCTTACATGATATGTTATCTATAATTTACCTTATACTATATTACCTTCTTAGGGCCTGTTTATATGGAGGCGAGTTACCCAGCAACGCTAGTTACACGCCCAGGCAGGACAAACAAGCGCTGCGTTTATATGGAACCGACTAAGCCGATGCGTGATTGCCGCATGACGCCGAAATGGCACAAAAAGGATTTAAAGTCGTTTGAAACGTTAAAAAATATTCCAAAATGTCGTAAATTTGCGCCATAGAAATGCTGATCGTACGTGAGATCGTGCCCGTGGGATCGACTATTCTCCCTACGAGTCTGTCAACGTTCTGTGGAAAGTCGTGGGTTTTCTCCGGTTTAATTTCCTCCCACAAGGAGAGTTGATATAGGGTGTGTTAGGATAAATATAGTCAGGAGAGTAATATCACAGCCGTTGTAAACATAAGAGCCTGTTTATATGGAGGCGAGTTACTTGGAAACGGCGAAATCCCGGCTGTTATAGAAACTTATAGTAATCCCGGGTGACTGTTTACATGATGCAGCGGGAACCCGCCAAGGCGAGTTACTCGGCTGCATCATGTAAACAGTCAACCCAGGATTACTATAAGTTTCTATAACAGCGGCGAGTTCCCTGCAGAAAGAGGCGGGATATCGCCCAGGGGAGATGAATATTTTACCATGTAAACACTCGACCGCCTGAGATAGAATGTACGTGCTTTGCATTTGAAATATAATAGCTCAAAGGTACTTACAAATCATTAGATAAGTTATTCGGCGCTTATTCTTGTTTTTTCACATGTGGATAGGATCCAATGCGCTTTACATCAAGTATTATACGCTTACCTAATTACACACTTAGCCTGGCTGGACCATTTTATCTTCACAACAATTGTGATAGTACTTTTTTAACTGTGTTTATCCTAACCAACCTTGTCAACTTTCCCTGTGGAAGGAAACCGGAGAAAACCCACGACTTTCCACAGAGCGTTGACAGACTCGTAGGGAGAATCGATCCCACGGGCACGATCTCACGTACGATCACAATCAGCATTTCTAGGCGCATATTTACATGTCGATATAATCAAATGCGCTTCACATCAAGTATTATACGCTTAACTAATTATCAGTACACTTAGCCTGGCTGGACCATTTTATCTTCACAACAATTGTGATGTTACTTTCTTAACAGTGTTTATCCTAACCCGACCCTGTCAACTTTCCCTGTGGAAGGAAACCGGAGCACCCGGAGAAATTTCACCCACGACTTTCGGCAGAGCGTTGACTGACTCTTTTCACATGAGTCTGTTGCAAGGGTGGGTAGTAGCGAAGTAGTTGTAGTTCGCTACTGTAGCGAACTACAATTTTCAAGTAGCCAGTAGTTTTTGACTACTTTTTTAAAACAGTAGTTGTAGTTATAGCGAACTACATTTTGCCTAAAAGTAGCCAAATAGTTGACTACTTTTCAAACAGCGAATCGTTATTCGCTACTTTTTAAAATTGTTAGCAACCGTTCATAGAATAGAATGATGATAAGACACGGTTTGCTTAAAAGATTATTTTATACAGTAAAGATTATTTTAGCGCAATGAAAAGTGGCACTCCTGAACACTGTAGTGCTTAAAAAATGTTGCTTTGACCCTTTTTGTTTACTGTTGCTTCTCGTAAGTCGATTTGTTATAGGTTGTATTACAGCCTGAGGTAGTGGATGCTCCAAATACCGTAAAACTAAAAAATATAGAGTAGCGAAATAGCGAAATAGTTCGTTACATTTTTTAAGCAGTAGCTGTAGTCAGTAGCGAACTACCTTTGTTCAAATGTAGCAGTAGTTGTAGCTGATTACATATTTTTGAAGAGCTGTAGTTATAGCGAACTACAAAAATTTTGTAGTCAACCCATCCTTGGTCTGTTGTGAGAATCGAACCCACGAACTCAGAGGTGAAAGGCGCATGCTCTGACGAATGACGACTGCGCCATGTAGAGGTGAAACCGTGAAAGGCGCTAGTTTTGACCGACTGCGCCTCTTTCCTCCACAGAGGTTTCATAATAATAATAATAATAATAACTTCTTTATTTAAACTGGTAAAAACCGATCAGCTAACAAAATATCAGCTGGTATAAACCGATGACCAGCATTAATATATGAATAGTTTACATCCATATATACTATATATTATCTAAATAAACCACACCACATGCAATACTAGAATAGATATAAAAAATGTTTAAAAAAAAAATATATATATATATTTAGTGCTAAGAGTTACTATATGCTACAACGATGTTCGTGAGCATCAGTTTCTAAGAAAAACTTAAAAATATTGTTTTT